TAAATTGCACCATCAATTTTTCGTTGAAACTGAAGTCCTAATTACTTAATGTCCCCTGAAAGCTTGATTAATGTGCTATATCCATAGACCATCACCTCCATGGTTGATGTTTTGGATGGGTAGGCTAACATGTTAATATACATACATCTGCTTTATTGACCTAAAACTGTGTCAACCTGATAATGTAATCCAACTATTCTAGTAATGATTTAGCATTATTGCAATTCCAGCGGAGAGCTTACAAAATTGGACCTTCACGTCACCATATGATCTGTAATTTTGTTTTATTTGTTGTTTTTTTCCCCATACAGGGTGGAGGTATAGCAAGAAGAAGTGCCCCTGTCCTGCAAATGATACGTGAAGAGGTATGCTTGCCTCCCATATCCCTTATCATGAGGAATTTCTAATGATTGGATGTTTTTATTTTAAATGTAATCTAGCTTTGTGTGTAATTTCCTTCTTGATTGAATTCATCTTCACTGCTATGTTCCTTATATAATGACAAAGTGACACATTGGCTTTTTGGGGCAGTTTGTCATGTTATAAGGTTGTATACACCTATTGGTGGATCCTGCGTGGATTCTAGTTGTAGTCATTTTTCTAATTTTGGCTGCTTATTCTAATTATACTAGGTGACTGAAGATGGCAAGTATTGCTTAGTTCTGGCGTTTAAGGCAAAAGATCTGCAACTTTCAGATTTTGAACGAAGACAGGTAACAAAAAGTGTACTTTTTTTGTTTTTCATGGAAATTTGCCAATATGGATTTGTACAAACCTTTCAACTCTTTCAGCACATTAAGTTTCTGCTTGAAACTGGCAATCATGTGACTATGAGCTTCTATCTTCTTGCATCACGCTCCAAACCTGTTAGACTCGTGGCTATGCATATTATGGACTCACTCTTTGCTTTTATTTCTTAGGCAAAATTTGCTTCATTCTTTGGACCAGGGATCACTTCTGAAGTTTGTAAGTGATGCGAATTTTCTACCCTTTCTAGTCCAATTTTGAATCAAATTGAATTGTTCTTGATCTTTTGCTCATTAAAATTGAAAAATGAAGTCTCTGGACTCACAAAGATGAAGTAGTTCTAGCAATTTCACAAAGATTGTGCAAGATTATGGTTTTGGCCTCGCAAAGAGATTGTCACAGAGGTCTGAAATCTTGTTCCCAAAATCTGATGTATGTTTACTTGGTCTGAAATAAGCCTCATAAAACACCTAAAGACCTAACTGAATTAGGATTGAACTTCAATTTTGCCAGTATCCTAATCCAAGTAGATGCTTGAACAAAAGCTGGATTGCTGGAATACACTGAAGTACATTGTCCCTAGAAACAAAATTAACTAACTAAAGTAAATCCTAACACAAATTTGTAAAGCTTGAAATTATGTCTTAAATGCTAAACAATGTCAGTAGTAACTAGTTAACTAAAACTGTGCTAGAATCAGGTTCAACCATATCAGAACCAAGCCCCTGGGTCTGACCATATGTCGACAAAGTCGTACTAGAACCAGATTCAACCAAATGTTTTATTGCAGTTTTAAGGAACAAATCCTAACGAAGAACTTATGCCCTGTATCAATATTATTGAATTTCCTCTAAAATAATCTGAAAAACAGTAAAGTATTCTGTCTCATACACACCCAAACAGAATTAACCAACTAAAGTAAATCTGATTACAAATTTATAAGGTGTAATCATCTCCCTTAAATGCTAACAATGGTAGTAACTAAAGTAACCAGGTTTAATCATATTGGATCAACTATGTCATACTAGAATCAGATCCAACCATGTATTATTATCGTTGTCGGGACTATATGTATAAGTCCTAATGAAGAATCTTGTGCCCCTGTAATCCTGTATTAGTAAGATCTGACATCCTCTAAAATACTTCAGATTGTGCCCCAATTTTTTTGACATGTTACATGTACAATGCTTCTGTCAAAAACAAGGCTTGCGTTGGTTCTATAGAAACCCTGTATAATGATGTGCTGATTTTTCTTCACTTACAGGTAAAGGAGCGGATGATCTCTACGAAGTTCGTCTCATATCTAATACAGAAGCATAAAGGAGTAACCAACAGTTAAGGAACTAGTTCTTCTAGCAGCCTGATTATGAGCCTTGTAAGAATTTTGTATAGTTTGTATACATACCAGATACACTAGCATGTTAATAAACCTGCAGATTATATAATTAACGTTTCATCTATCTATGAGATGGTCGTTGAGTTCGCCCATATACTTATGTGTTTATAAAATTGTATTACAAGTCTTCAATTAAAGCTACTCTGCAATTAGTACGAGTTGTTAAACATTTCTTTTTTTTTTTTTTTAAACAAATCAATTTATTAATAAAAAGTCATCCGACATCTACAAATGAAATCTAAATTAATAAATACATAAAATTGAATTAAATTAGAGTTTCCTTCATCAAAGCTATGATTGTTGAAAAGATCTTGCACTGTGGTACATCTCTCGCACACATCGCTGGAATATACAACCTTTTCGGAGAGACGGTCTAACGATTTGTTGTAGCCGTAAGGATGATTTTCATCTGATTCGCTTTAATGCATTTGAAAACTTGACAACCTTTGCGATTCCGAACAAATCTTTACCAACGAACTGACAATAGGGCAAAAAGATGATTACCTTTTCAATAAACCCTAACACACAAACAAACCCTACATAAACAAACAACTAAACTAACAAAAACTAACGACTCTACCATAGGGAAACGGACGAATATCTACACTACTCGTGTAGATTTATTGAAACCTAAATTGCAAAACTAAAGAAAATTAAGGGAAAAGGGTCGGAAATAGTCTAATTTCTACGGCCAAGATTTTGGAAAAACCTTAGAAGAGAGGAGCGTATGATTTGTTAAATATAGATACGCGTATAGAAGCAAAAATTCTATAGTAAATGACATGTATCGCGTTTTATCAGTTATCACTAATGTAGCAAGTGTCATGTATCGCTGTGCCTAGGTACCACTAATGAGTCTAATTAATTATGCTATGAATTTCATTAGTACAACTTAATTATTTCATGCTCTCTTAGCAAACTAATATTGAACACTATCCATGGTGTTATTATCTGAACAGATTGTTATCATGTTTGATTATGATCTAGGTAAATTATTGGAGAGATTTTATTCGTATCAAAAAGGATGGGTTGCGAGTTTTTTTTTTATTAGAATAATGCAACTATAATATTTTTTTTAAGAAATGCCACTGTTAATTGATTATGAAGTAGTGTTAAAAGGGTTTCAAAAAAATAAATAATAAATAAATAAAAAGTGGGTTGTTAAAAGGCCTTAAACATTTTAGAGTAGAAAAAAAAAAATTACTCCGTAAAAAATATATCAAAAAGGATATCAAAACTGGATCAAACTGGATTTTCCATTAATTATGTCTACAAAATGCATTATGATCTTCCTTAAAAAGAAAATCTACGTATTAAACCCTATTACCTACTATGATTCAGCATTTAGATGAAAGAATATCAAATAAGATTTTGTAAAATTAAACATGAGGTGTAACTTTATTTTATTTTTATTTTTATGTTTGTTTATAAAAAAAATAGTATCTGTAATAGTATTATAAATCTTAATGGATATTTTTGCTAATCCCAAACCCACCTTCCAAATTGTTTGTAATAACATTTTTTGTCTGAGTCAGACAAATCTCAGTTTTTGTTTTTTTTTTTAAGGATCACAATTCTAAGGATTACAATTTTCTTCTATATTCACTTGGTATTATGATTTCTTACCTTAATTAATAATCTTATGTATACCCACTTTGGACTATAAATTATCACTTTATTCTTATTTTCATTTTCATAAAAACATTTTATTTTTTCTAGTTGTTCACTGGGAAGGAATCCATCCATTTGTTTAAGGAGAGGTTAGTGCTTGTTTAATTAGAATTTGCTTGTATTTTGTCTAATCCTAAAAACAATTTGGGAATTTGTTTGTAAATTCTTCTATGAAGTCACTCCAACTATCTTTTTTGCACATTGTTTTAAAGCGTAAGAATTTTCTCTCTACAAACTACAGATTTACGGTGCTCTAGGAGCCTAGGTAAAAAAAAAAAAAATAATAAAAAAAAAATAAAAAAAAAAAATAGTAATTGTCATGGATTAATCTTCTTTTTCTGTTGCTAGTAGCTTATTAATTTATACGGAGTAATAGCGCGGTTAATTAATTAATTTTTTTTTTCTTAGAAAGGCAGAGTAAGTAGTTTGGTGGATTAAATTTTAATGAATGTTAAAATTAATGCTAGTGTTAAGTAGTTTGAAGCAGTGTTAGTATCAGTACTCTTTTTTTTTATAGGATAAGTACAATATGGGATAAGTGGATATAAAAACATGGGAATTAATTTTGAAATTATCATTAGGGCATCTCTTCTAATTGTACATGTGATTACTCATTGGTTATATTGTTAATAGTTTTTTACTCATTTTATCTTATTGATAGTTGATATATGTTAATAATTTTGTGAATCTCTTAGGATCTTTGTCTGATAATAACTTAATAAAACAAAAAACATGGGTTTGACTTTATTTTAATCAAACAAAAAAAAAATAAAGGATACTCTCTTTACATATGTTCTTTTCTGGTATATGTAATGGTAGTCATCAAGATTTTATTTTTCTTTCGAAAAGTCATCAAAATCTTTTAATTTATTTATATAGAAAACATTGTTATGATTCTTATGAATGAGGCAATTAATTAAATATTAGGCTAATATTCAAAGAATGTGCATGACACAATTACTTCAATTGATTAGAGCCTAATAATTAATCATGCAAATATTAAAAAGTATACTTCCTAATGTATCAAAATTAAACGTTTGCACCAGGATGGATTAGATGGTATTGTGCACCCAAGTACACCTTCTAACTATTGAATATATAAGGCAAATATCGAAAAGTATATATCTTAATTTGTCAATAATTTTTCATAATTATAAACATTATTGTTCAATAAAATTATTATCAGATGGCAAATTCAAGCTCTTTATGGACATGGGAACAAGACAAGGCATTTGAGACAGCTTTGGCAATGCATTTTGAGGATAATTCTGAAGCTAAGTGGGCGAAAATTGCATCACGAATCCCAGGAAACAAAACCATTGAAGATGTCAAGCAACACTATCAAATGTTATTTGAAGATATCATGGCAATCGAATCAGGCATGGTCCCTTTACCATCATACACCCCTAATGGCAGAGGTAATATTTTCGACGTCCCTGTGACTGAAGAGGAATACGTGTGGGAGTCGCGTAAAGGGCAGCCGTGGTCAGAGGCTGAGCACCGGCAATTCCTGTTAGGATTGGACAGGTTTGGCAAGGGAGATTGGAAAAGCATATCTAAGGAGTTTGTTAAGACAAGGTCAGCTACTCAAGTTGCAAGTCATGCACAAAAGTACTTTAAGAGGCAGGCTAATAAACTGAAGAAAGACACCAAAAGATGGAGTATATTCGACATTACTGTTCCTACTAAGGCTCAACCAGGCATACAAAATCACGGTAGCAGTAGCAGTGGCAGTAGCAATTATGAATATGCTCCTAAGGGAAATGAAATGAACTCTGCCATCAATGAGGCAATGATTCAGCAGGGTTTCGTTGAGGTGCAACCCATGCATCAACAAGTTCCGGTGGCTGTACCACAGGAATATATGTCACCCCCTGAAAGCTGGTGTCTCGAGGATGATATGGTTGCAGATTATAATGTAGATGAGTGTTTGTCGCAACTTCCACCCCTGTGAATTTGTGAGTACCTTAGTTCAAAGTATTAAGCAGGGGAAATTGGTAGTTCAGAGTATTAAGCAGGGGAAATTGGCAGTTTAAAGTGTAAAGTATGTGGGTATGAACAGAATATGCAGCTTCTTTGAGTTTATGTTTCTAGGTTATTAAGCACATTTTCTTTTAGTAAAAATGTAAATGTAATTAGACGAAATATCAAAGGAAGCTATTGGTTTTATGTTGCCAGAATTCAGTTTGTGCATGATTGGTTAAATTGAATTGTGATTAATTATGCGTTTAATTCGGCATATTTAATCTATAGAATGGTTACAGGATAAGTTGTAGCTTTTTGAATCCATGCAGCCCACACAAGGGTTGACAGGAAAAAAAATCTTCACTAGAGCTTATAAGGTCAAGTTGCATTCGTGCAGCAAAAGGAGGGTGAAGGGAGTTACAGGGGGAAGGGAAAATTGTAGGTACGAACTTAGTAAGACATGTCCAATTGACCCCAACTTAAAAGTTTATCTTATAACTTAAAAGTTTATTTACAGGAAAAAGACTTAAAACTTGCACATAATACTGTAAAATATCCTGCCACATCTGAAAACCGTAATCTCTTTGCTTGATCTTTGAAGACAGAAAAACAAAGCAATGGTCTGTCTTCTCAAGATCAATCTTTTAGAACTTGTTAGTAATAAAAAAATTTACTTGGTATCATGTTTGCTTTCAGACATCTGACTTGATGATTATGAGAAGTGGTTTACCAGCTGCTCAGTGTGATAAGCACGCTGACAGCTGAATACAGAAAAATCAAGCAGTATGAACTATGAAGTATGATGAATCATGTACTTCATAATACATATAATATTTGATTGTAAGAAAGAGAATGGAGTACTTAGTTACAAACTATATATTCGTATGTAATATTTGGTAGCAAGACATGATAACCAAGGGGATATATTGAAACATCTGAAAGTTGATTTATGTTACGAGTTTTGGAAGCAATTACATACAAATAGTCGGGAAATCTTCCTGCCCAATTAGGGTTCTTAGCCTCGCAAAAGCCTACACTAAAAATGGCTGTGCTATTTTGCTAAAAGCATATATGAAGTCTGACAAGTCCTAAAACTGTACTACTCTAGCATCGAGACTAAGAAAGTAAGAAGCAAAATAATAAATTTTCCAGAATCAGCCAAGGATCATCTTTGATCAGCTATCAAGACTAAGAAGCAAAATAATACCAGAATCATCCCAGGATCATCTTTGATAAGCTATCGAGACTAAGAAGCAAAATAATAGTCTTCCAGAATCATCCCAGGATCATCTTTGATAAGCTATCAAGACCAAGAAGCAAAATAATGTCTTCCAAAATCATCCCAGGATCATCTTTGATAAACTATCGGAACTAAGAAGCAACATAATAAGTCTTCCAGAATCATCCCAGTATCATCTTTGATAAGCTATCGAGACTAAGAAGCAAATAACAAATCTTCCAGAATCATCCCAGGATCATCTTTGATCAGCTACCTGCTGAGTCACTGACAAGCAAACATACCAAAATAGTTCATCAACTTTTCATATCCAAGAGACTAAGACAAGCTCAATCTTTTCGTCACTAAAGTGCAGCATTTGAGAAAATGAATGTAGAAAATTGTAAGAAAGTGGGATCCTTTTCATTTAATAGAAGGTCTCGTACTCCAGTTAATGGGAAAAATGAGTATACTCTATATATTTTTATTATTCCTAACTCCTAGCTTATTGTAATAAGAGGATAGTCCAGCAACTGAAGATCTTCATGCATCTTGTATGATATACAGTTTAGCTGAAGTTGTTCAATGCTTAAGGTTGCAAAGATGATCAAAATTAAGCCTTTTTTTTTTTTTTTTTTGTTTTTCTGTAGGTAGGGTTAAGAAATAGTTTTCAAGGCAGAGACCTCAGACCATGAAGGAGCATACAGAAGACCATTAGTGTAAGATTCAATAAGACAATTAACAATGCACAAAAGAATGCATCAAAATAAGAATTCATACCAGCTGGAGTATCATCATTGGAGCTTGATTCTACTTCAATTTCAGAATCGCTCTTCACCCTTGTTTGATCAGCAAGCTTAACGCGCTTGTATCTATTGAGTCTGCAGACACATTAGATAAGATCATGAAATCAATCTGCTGTTTGAAAACAAGCATCATCCAAAACTATCCGCGCAAAATTAAGGTAAACCATTCTTGATGGAAAAAATAAGCCTCAACAATCAGAATATATAAGTTTGAAGGTTTTGTGATCATGAACTATGGAATACTCAATTATTTGACTGGCTGATAGCCAATTGGTTAAAAGTTTTGAGCACATACAACGAATTTTTACAACATCATTTGTAGACAACGATCTAGCAGTAAAAACAATGAAACAAGTATTCATATCATAAAAAGGAAGCAGATTGTAAAATTCACATCTAACTAACTTTTATAAATCGAGCAGCAAACTGTTTATCTATCCTTACCATTTACACATAGGCTACCAGATTTTCCTACAGAAGTTGCTTAACATAGAATAGAAATGCTTAGATGTAGAGGGAATATTTATTTCAGAAAATAAATAAAAGGTGCTCCAATTGCAACACTTAAATTAAAACCTCCAAGGAGGTAAAACATATTAACAACCATTTTTATTAAAATTAACTTCATTCAGCTCGAATTCTTATGTGAAAGGCAAGATAAAAGAATACCTAGGGTCAAGCATTAATTTGATTTAATTGTCAATATGTAAGAGTTCACTTGACATATTAAGCAGTAAACTATGATTTACCTTATAGAAGAAATGTATTTTTCAACCAGTTCTATCTCTTCAGCCTTATAACTAAACCACTTGTCCTTGAAGTCGATTTGTTCAGGACTTCCCACTTCTGTAAATTTGAAGAGCTAAGCATTAAGTCTTCTACTCAAACCACTCAGATCAAGATATAAACGAATCATATGCAATAATTCAAAAGGCAGCAGAAATATGCAGTGGAAATAAAGTATACAGTTTTATAACTGACCTTGAAGAAGTAAGTTTGAATCACCGTAACAAGTAAGCCTCCAAAAAGCATGGCCACTGTCATCTAAAAAGACTGAATCTGTCCTTACAGCATCTGATCTTCGTCTCTCTGTAAAATATAGTCAACAGATGAGATATCAGATATCCAACACTACATACACATATCCCATATTTTGGCAATTCAGAAAACAAAGGCTATCAAATACTTCGTATATACATTTATACTTACTGTGCAACTAGATTTGTCGTCTGATTATCTAATTTTCAATGCAGAGGTGAGGTGATGGGGATTTAACAAGCTATATATTAGGAATTATGTATCAGACAAAAGAATTATGCAAACAAGGCAACCAATTGATCATACTATTAAAAAAAAATTGATCATAATTTTAAGATTACACTTCCACAACTGCTAAGTGTCATTTTTTTTTTTTTTTATAAACTTAGATTCCACATGAAGACGTCATCCATAGAACACTATAGCTAAGATGAAGTCGGCTACAACAGCTGAAATACATACCATCTGTTTGAAGCCTTATGTATGTATTACTGTCGTTTGGACTCACCAAGTCATTTAATCACAAATAGCTTCAAAATGAAGTATTATGAACAAGTTAAAGGCTAAAAACACGTGCTGAAACTTTATAGGACTCTATCAAAAACAAAACATAATTAGAGCTCAATGCATTAATGTGGATTGTGGAGTTCTTAGATATATCACCATCACATATGATTTACTTGTATGCAAAACCATTGGAGAGACATGTGACATTCCCTGAACTTATGTCCAACCATAAAATCCATGGTAGATTAATTTAAGAAAAAGCTAGACTAATTGAAGCCAAGCAAAGTCATACTTTTAGGCATTGAGTCCATAGCTTCCAGCAACTCTGCACGTGCACGCTCTGTTTCTTCTTTTATCTTTGAAATAATAGAATCATGTTCAGAGATAGTAAGAGGTACACCATTTTTTGCAAGCACTGCTGTAGCAACTTTCTCCTGCAGCTTGCGCTTTGCCTCCCTTTCCTGCATAAGTTACAGAGCTTGAATACAACACCTAGCTCAGCACCTACTATCATAAAGTTGCTGAATACAATACCTTTTCCCTAGCTGCATTTATACTTTCTTTTGCTTCCTTCTCTCTTTCAACAAACTTCAACTTTTGTTCATCTATCCAAGTCCTAATTTTTCTAGAAAGGTGAAGACATATTAGCTAGCATTCTTCTCTTCTGGAAGTATGAAATGATAAATCATACACTCTACTTACTTGGTAGAAAGTGACTCATCACAAAGAAAAGTTAGAAGCCTGAGTTTTTGCGAGGATTCCAACATCTCATACCCAGCACATCCTTTGTCCAAGCAATCCTCAGGGAAGTCCTCCAATTCAAGCTCAGATTCAGAGAGGCATCTTTTTAGGGAATGTATCCAAGAATCTTTGTCGTTAGATGGGCTTAAGCAAAGGGATCTGAAAAAAATACAAGGTCAATTCATTACCATGATGATAGAATTAATTTAACAAGCACCAATACTGGGAAGAGAAGTTCTTACTCTTCGTCTTCCTCTTCCTCTTCATCCATTTCCTCCAGGATAAAAGACGATAACTGGATAAGAAACTGGACAGCAGAAGAGCATTTTCCCTTGCGCCTACTCCGTCCACACACTATATCTCTCAGTACAGATTCAGGCTGTCCTTTCCTAATGTTCAGAACCTAGGCAATAAGATAAGTTAAGCATAAAAGAAAAAAGGCACTAAACCTTGTCCACCAGAACTTGTCAGTTGTCACTGTACTCAAGAAGCGGAAAACCACCATATATATCATTGTATCCAAGTAATCAAACACAGACATCACCCACATAAAACAGCTATGCAACATATGTACACGCTGCGGAGAAGAAACAAAGATGAATAACCAAAAATAGGCACAAGTACAACCAAAAGCAATTTTGGCTATGTAAACTGTACAGTAAACAACAGCTTGACAGTGACACAGATCACAAATGCAGCTATACTGCGTAACACTTCATACTCTAAGATCAAAACCTTAGTAGCTCTGATCTAAGGACTTAAATCCACATCAAAACCTTAGTTGCTATATTGTACAGTCAACAAAGGTCAGCAATAAAGTTGAAAAATATACCCTTAACCAAGAAAAATAGTTTTTTCTAACAATAAGAAAGATACTTTAATATATTACCTCCCCAAAAGAAGAGCAGAATTCCAAAAATTGCAAAGCATGTCCAGCATCATCATGAAGCAAGTCGAGCCCAGCCACATTGGTCAACAAGCTGCCTGGGGGAAGTAGGGGCAAGATAATATCCATAACAATATGATCAATATCTGTTCCTTTCTGGCGTTTGCGAGACTTCACCTTTGGCTCTGCTTGATCTTTGGCCTTTTTAACTTTCATAGTTTCTTTCCCACAATTGTTATCACTCGTCTTCTCATCTATTTTGGTAACTTCCTGAGGGGCATTGAATTTCCTAGGACTTCTTCTCACATTATCCTTCTCATCATTACCATCTACCTCTTCCTTTTTGGTGACTTCTTGGGGTATGTTGAATTTTCTCGGACTTCTTCTTAGGGCAATCTCCTCAGTAATTTTTCTGGGGCTAGACACAGCACCATTGTCTTCAGCAACTTCAACCCTCTCCTTGAGCCCTGCCACCACCCCCTTCTCCTGCTTGGCTTTTTTTGCCTTCTTATCATTAGGACTTGAGGGTGGAGATTGAGAGTTTAAAGTCGTAGTACAAGATCCATCAAAAGAGTTTTCCTTCCCTCGTTTCGTCGGAGAAATTACAACAGGCCCCTGCCAACAAATATTATATTCACAATAACAAGCAAACAATCCTAAAGTTAGTGTCCACAACACTAGTCCAATTTCAGTAAGTAACTATAGAATGCCATAAAATACATTACATCCAACTCAGTCGAAGCTGCTGATTTCTTGGAGGAAGTTGCCTTGCACTTAACAATTTGCTCCAGACACGCATCATGACCCTTGACAATCAATAATTCTGAAACTGAGGAAAACCCAGTTGCTTTTGCTGTGTGGGCAAGAATGCCAGTGGGCTTGTGGCCCTTTTTCTTCCTGTCATAGAAATTGCAGCATTAAAATTTCACATTTAAAACTGGAAATGTCTCACCCCCTTGAGCAAGAATTCTCCTAGAAGCTTAATACCCTGGGGATTAAAGTTGGTGAGAAAATTACCTGCAAAAACTGCAGTTACATATGTCTCTGCACTTAGGACAATTCCAGTTATCAAGAGTTGCCATCTCTTCTGCATTCTCTCCATACCTAAGACGACAACACACAAAAAATTATTATAACCAACACAAAATAACCTTTATGGTTACATTAGATCCTCTCGTAGTAAACTTAAAATTCCTTTCATCTCCATAGCATACCTATTTAGGAGGCACTTGTGGCAGAACTTAACTGGACATTGCTTATCTCCCTTCATGTTCTTGCATCCTGCAGTGAAGTCCATTGTTTTTTGACGGCACTGTAGAAACATTTTGTCAATCATTAGAACATAATTACAGCAAAAAGAAAGTTAATTGTGTAAACTACTTCAGAATTCTGATGATTCACATTATCAGATTATCAGTTGAAATTCGATAAACACATAATCTCTCCCGACAAGTCCTACACGTTACTTATATGGCAACACTGAAAATTCAGGCATGCCATCTGAGAACAAAATGCCGCTTCAAAAACTGCAACAAACATGATCATCTCTTACATTAAACTTTACAGAAATTATACCATTCTTGTAACATGGCATCATAGTTTCCAACTTTCCATCTAATTCTCTCATAAACAAGCACATTTTTATCCTCGGCGACAAAAGTTAATAATATACAGATGCATTACTAATTAACCTCAACTATTCAATCAAGTTAAATCTACACATTCCAGCAGCATGAAAGCCTTGAAAACCTAAATTATACAAAGTACTCCGTAATATACCTCATACTAACTACTAAGCTTAAGCCATATGAACGTAAATAATACCATTCTATACAAAGTACAAAGTGTAGAGAGTTCGAGCACACGTCTTTCAAAGTTCTAGGGCTAACACCTAATCCAAAACTATTGTTCTAAGATCACCAATTCATGAAATGTACATTGTAACTTCAACCATTAAGACCCAACAAACACATCACAAAAACACATAAATAACTGAATACCCCATAAAACTATCCTATACTGCAAATCTAGGGTATTTTCTATCTAATTATCACCAATTTAGACAAAATAAACAAGTGCAACCCCAAAATTTTCAACCAATTTCCCCCCTAAACCCTAACAAAAATCATCTCTCTATAAACATAAAGTATATATTATCGCAAAAATCAACAACATTAACATGATACAAAATCAAATATAGGGTTTATCTGCAATCAATTCAAACCCCAGAAAAACCCACAAAAACAAGATTTACCCAGAAAAACTTCAAACCTAAGAGGTGATTTTTGTTAGGATACTGATAATTTGAGTGAAATATACTAAAACTGCTAAATATGTCACAATAAACAGAAAATGAACATGAAAATTAAACAGTGGCAAGTACTCTTAACACTAAAAAAGGAGGAATGAAAAGTTGGCCAAGATGCATTTGGCAAATACCTGATGACAGGTCTTGCCATTTTGGGAATCATAAATTCTACCACCAACAACTCGAACACCAGGATCTTTACAACGCTTAGGTTGTTTCAGATCTTCATCTTTCTGAGTCTCCATTTTCGTCTCCACCTCTTCATTATTAACCTCCTTCTTCTTCTCCTCTATCTTCTTCTTCTTCTTCTCAGAAGTAGCAGCAGCTACAGGACTAGAAGAGACCGCCATTAAAATCTCTCAGCAAAAGCTTGGTGTTAAAGAGAGAGAATTATTGAGGGAGATGAAATGGGGTTTTGGAGAAATGTGTTGTAGTATTAATTGCAGAGAAAATGGACTTAAAGGCGGGACATTTTTCGAAGTTTTTGGGGAAGATTTTTGGATGAAGGTATTGGGCGCCAATTTGATTTCTTTTAAGTTTTTTTAGGCCAAAATTTTGGGCTAAGGTGCCATGTTACATATGGGTTCAAAATTTCAAATCTTCAATTTTAACATAACTATTTTATATTTCTTTCTTTTTTTATATATATATATAAATAAAAAAAAAAAAAAAAAAGTTCCATCTCTTTATCTCGTCTTGTAATCTCATACTCCGCATATTGTTGAAGACTACTTTCGTACTCCCTTCGTATTTTATTTCTTGTCTTATTTCTTTAGAAATAAAGTTTTATGAGAAACAATAGAAAGTACTCCCTTCAGTTTTTTATTATAACCTAGAAATGAAATTGAGCGGAGTTTTAGGTGTTTTAATAAACTAAGGTGTTAATGGGGTAGATAAGGTTATTATTTTATTGAAAAGTAAAGTGGTGTGAGAGGGAGTAGGGACCATTAAATGAGTGAGAAATGATAAAGTAAAAAAGAGTATGGACATTAGTAGGTAAAGATATATTATTAAATTGTCAGAGATTTCCAAAAATGAAACTCTAGTTTATAAATAAAAAAAGGACGAAATAGTAACTCTAGCTTATTAAAAAAAAATAGAGGGGGTATTATTTTATGGTGAAAGTAGGGTTGGTTGAAAAAAAAAAAAAAATTAAAAACCAAAAGTTAATATAAGTGGGAAGGAGAGAATATAAAAAATACGTAGTATTAAAATATGGTACGAGGGAACACTACTATTGGGGAGAAATGTAGTAAAATATTGTTGAATGTTTCCAAATACAAGGAAATACAAACAATAAAAATACGTTCGTAAGGAGAGAAAAAGTAAAGTAAGTAATAAAATATGGAGGGAGTATTAGAAAAGTGACATTAAATTACATTCATTAAAAAACACATCTAGTTGTGACAACAAAATTTGAGAACTAACTTTTTTCGTTCAATCAGAACCTAAGAGGTTTCCGTAATAGCCCCTAAACCAAATTTAGACCAACCTAACAAAACACCAACTAAGTAACAAAAGTAATAACGAGGGTAAACACAAGAACATTTTAGTTACTTTCAACGAGAGTAAGATACAAGGCAAATTGCTCAATTGACGAGTAATTTGACTAATTGTGCATAATCTCTCATGTTTTTTGTGGAGTAACTTTTTTTTGTTAGTCCTCAGATTTTTCCGTGACACCAACTTATAATCCCCGTTAATGGCTAATTTCTAACTTTTCGAAGTTCATTTAACAAACTAGTTATAGGAGTAAAAGTAGTGTGCAAACCCAAGCGATGCCTCAGGTTACTACTTAAAAAAAAAAAAACTTGAAAGTTTCTTTTTTTGTAACTAGACTTATTTGGTATATCTTTTTGAGAAATTTGGTTCTAATTGTGTTTGGGTTGTTTATATTAATTAGGAGAAAAGTGTTCTATATTTTGTCTGTTATGCATAATCTCAAAATTTAAATTCGTAATTGCATTATGATCATTACACACTGGAAAATAAGTACAATTAAACACTCATCTTATTATAGTTAACTATAATGCAATACTTGTTGGAATCTGGATTTGGAGAATTTTGTCATGCGCGCACTAATAAAAATCCACTGTTAAAATATGCCTTGAATCAGCGTTTTAGTTCGGAGTTGTGCGTAGGCAAGGAAGAGGCGATGAGGAGGCGGGCTATACCTCGACCCTATGGAGTCCTGCAACAAGCTAAGGTTGAGCTAGCTAGGTTGGCAGTCCAATCAAGGTTGAATATATTTTTTTTCTTTTTTCGGTTTTCTCCACATGGTGGCTATTAGAAGTTACTTGGGAAATACTCTGGGTTTCCTTGTATAATAATTTTTTATATTTTTTTTTTAGATAAAAAAAGTAATATTAGTATTTTTTTTACCCCTTCTTTTTATCACTCGTCCATTAATACCCTCCCCTCCTTCAAGTTTTATTTTTTTTTAAGATTTAAAAAAAAATGAGTAGTGTTAGTTTAGTATCATTATAATCAATATTGAAAATAAGTAATTTCAATTTAATTTATATAAAATTGATTGAGGATTTTCTATTTTAAATATAAGAGTAATGATTTAGATAATAACTAACTAGTATTTAAGAAATTAGATTATCCACGAACCGCGATGACACAGTACAACTAGTACAAATAAAATGCTCCTTTATAAAATAAAATAGAGACCTTGAACTCTTGAAGTGAGTATTGCCTAATATAAAGGTTTACTATATCACTCCTACTAAAATGTCTGGCCATTAAGACTCGAAACTTATTTGATTCCATTACACGTGGCGGTAGGTGACAGGACACCATGGATAAGAGAAGATTTAGTTAATTGGATGTATCCCTTAGGCCTTAGCTGTATCATTTTAGTCATTTAGTTTGATTTTGACAATCCATTAAAACAATATTTAATTCTTTATAGTACTTCTGAGCTTCACTCTCCCACTGTCCCCTCCTCTCACATGTACTATGATTTTACAAGGTATTTCTTCTGTTTTCTATGATAATTACATCTTTTTTAGAAACATTCTACTAGTAAGTTTCTATTCTTAGACAGTCCATTCTTTTGATAAAATCAAATGTTTAATGTTGCATAGCATATTATCATCTATGACGAATTATTATTATTATTATTATTATTATTATTATTATTATTATTATTATTATTATTGTTATTGTTAAATAATCTTCATGAAATTAAATTATCCAATATAGTTTAATTCTAATAAAACCATGTTCGAAGGTATTTGATTGCTAATCATGGTGGATATGTCATAAGCAATCTTTACTAATATAACAATTAACATAGACTTGATAAATTTGACTAGATTTACGTGTTGATAAATTCATATCAGTTCACCTTATTTTTAAAAACTCAATCTTCTGAGTTTGAATACCCATGTTAACTTTGTCAATATTCGAATACTTTATATGAATAGAACATATTTATGAAGTTATCTATAAACGAACCTTGCATAGTTATTCTATGTCTTTTGATGAATGTTTAGGTAACCATTAATAGTGTGTTCGAGCTTCAAATATATATATGCATGCTTTGTCAACGAAGAGGATGGCAGCGCCACTACCTATGTCCAGGAGATTCAGTTCTGAGTTTAATGTTGTTCTAGATGGTTTCAAGTGTTCATCTTCAACTTCAACTATCAACATTAGTATGAAAAACAACAGCCTTTCACCATCTAAAGATAGCATCTCGAGTAAATCGAGGACAAAGATGAATAGAAGGTTTAGTTTTTCAACAGAAGATGATCTTGGAAAGAGGTGTTTCCAAGCTAGTAGTGCTGAAGGATCACCCTGCAAGGATGTTTTAAGTCCTGTTTTTTATGCCTCAGAGTCCGATTTCACAGAAAAGCATAAGAGTTCATTAGAATTATACTTGGAGAAACTTCAGAGCCAAACCAAACAGGTTTCACAGGATTATGCAAGTGATGTTTCTGAAGCGGATGATCAAACCAGTCAACTGTCAGCAAGAAAGGAACTCGGACTACTCAAGAAGTATTTTGAATCAGTTAAAGAAGGTAACTAGCCAGCCAATTTATAAGATTTCGGAAAGTGTTCTATAAATGACTTTAGTAAAGGCTTGATTGTTTAGTTGCGAGTTTTCAGTATATTTGTATCTTGCATAAAGTCATGAATCTTCAGCAAATATGAAATCTTACTGTCTTCACTTCCTTGCAGATGGAAAGTCTGAAGATTGTTTGTCATCTTTTCCTGACAGAAATGCATCAGGCAAGAAGTCTGATGACTCTATGAGCATGAATCAAATTAAAGGCATGGCAATACAAGAATTCGAGAAAAGCAGTAATATTGCTAGGAAAGCTGCATCATTTCCTATGTACGACGAGAAAGAGAGTGGCAACCTATACCTGATGTAATTATCTGCTTGTTCATTAAGATTCTGCTGTAATTTTCTGTTAGTTTAGTATTCGTTTTTTGTTTATTTAACGATTTCTCTGTACTTTCTTACATGCAGAAGTACGTTGCTGTCGATAAATATAGCTGTGTTTCTGTTTGAGATAGCTAGTCCAGTAAAAGGTTCAGACTACAACCTCTATTCACTGCCCCTGATTTACGGTGCCAAGGTTAATGATCTGATCATGGTTGGCCAATGGTGGAGGCTTGTCACACCTATGTTTCTGGTACAAGATTAGTGATTTGGTTCGTAGTTCCTTTCTATTTTGTGTTTGATTGAAGATATGTCATTAATTAGATCTCTAGGGCTTGTTCTTTAGGTTATTCAGACCAATCTTAGGCCTCGTGTATGAAAATCTGAGCAGCTCAGAATGCAGAAAGTAGTGGTTGTACTGTTCTCTGACTCTGAGTGTTAAATAACTAGAATTCTATAAATCCATCGGAAATTATAAGTCACATATGATGGTTCTTAATGCTCGTAAAAAGTTGGTCACAGTTCCTAATATAGTGATGGTTTATGATTAGAGTTCTCAATATGCCAATACTCATAGGGACATGACTGATGATCGAAGTGTATACTATTAACCTAACCAGTTTGATTTATGCAGCATTCAGGACTTCTGCACATTGCACTTGGCTCATGGGTGCTTCTTTCTTTCGGGCCTCAAGTTTGCAAAGGATATGGCTCTTTCACATTCTTCCTGATATTCATTCTAGGAGGCATTTCAGGAAACTTCTCAAGCTTCCTTCATACATCAGAGGCTACTGTTGGTGGATCAGTAAGAACTTTGTTCTTCTTTGTTTCCTTTTCTTTACTGCATCAACATGATTGCTGCTTCTGACTTACCAAGTCCTGTCCGCCATTTCTAGGGACCAGTTTTTGCTGTCATTGGAGCTTGGCTCGTTTATCAAATTCAAAACAAAGATGTAATTGCAAAGGAACTGTCTGATAGTATGTTTCAGAAGGCAGTCATCGCTACAGCTTTTAGCTTTTTTCTCGGAAACTTTGGGCCAGTGGACAACTGGTAAGTTGCTTGGTTCCTCAATTCTGTAGATCACATCAACAGGCCTGAAATTTGTCAGAAAACAATTATCTGAAAGTCTCAATTTGTTAACTGTGGCAGGACAAGTCTTGGTGCTGCGGTATCAGGAATCATATACGGGTACTTTACATGTCCTGTGGTGCAAGTAGATGATGCACCTGCATCTGCCATGCAAGAAAGAAATAGTGGGATGAAAGACGAAATCACACTTAATAGCACACAAGCAGCTAAACCCTGTGTTTGGGTCCAATTTAGTCCAATTGGGCCTAGGCATTAAATGATCCAATTAAAAGCCCAAGGTCAAGGTTCATCTCTCCAATTGTGCTAAAGTCAAAGATCAGTCCTCAAGGCAAGCCAATTGGGCTAAGGCCCAACTTCTCCATATATGCAAAGGTATAAAAGCCATCAATATTACATTTGTACATTCATTCAAGCAAAGCCTCAAACAATTAATTCTCTTGCATAGTGTTCTTTTTCTACACACTGTACTGACTTTAGCATCGGAGGGGCCTTCCTCGGCAACACCCCCGAGGCTAGTTTACGTGTGTTTACTGTGCAGGAAACCTTCGGCCCAACATCACTTGGACCGAATCCAGTCTTCTCCACTTCATCGGACCTTCGACAAGGTCCCATTGTTTTCACCCGAAACAATTTGGCGCCGTCTGTGGGGAGACGAGTACTACTACCCATGAAAATCCACTAATTCATGGCTACTGTGTTCTATCACGAAAAAGGGTCAAAATTTCTAGCAAATTTAACCCAAAATTATTACTCCTGTCAAAAGGGGTAATCATTCTTGCAAATGGTGGAGATGATAGATAAACATTTTGATTTGTCGCCAATCTAACCACTACTAACAAGGTACTTCGTGCCTTTACAAAAAAAATTGGGAAATATTCCATGAATATGGTCAAACCTTAATTATTCTTGAAGAAGAATAAAAGCTAGATCTACGTGGCTCTAATGGAAAGCTCACAAAAGCAAGCCTTTCATTCACACCACCAAGTTGAAGAGGCAGCAGGTGGCATGAAACATACATAAAAAATCAATCAAGTTTATGTAAATTCAATGCTTGCCGAAGGAAATTGCCATTGTCTTCATCACAAGCTTCAAGGCTCACAACTCCACCACTAGAACGACTCACCATTTCATCCTAGGCAACACATGCCGAGGTCAATGGGGGTCAAGGCTAGTATTGTGAAGTGAGCCAAATCTCTTCACATCACATCTAAAGTAGCAGCCGAAGAAGATCCGAGGTTGTCTACCATTGTTGAAGCTTAAAAAAGCTCAAACTATCACCAATCTAAAAATCCGAAGCAAATAGCTCGGATAAGCAAAAGGAATCCGAAGCTCATCGAGCCGAGGCTATCCGAAGGTGTTTCAGCCCAAGCCGAAGGTGTTCTGGGCAAGCCAGCCGAGCCGAGACCGGTGTTTCAGCCAAGCCTAAGGCTTTTCAGCCGAGACCGAAGGAGTTTCAGCCCAAGCCGAAGGCGTTCTGGGCGAGTCGAAGGTGATTCAGCAGAAACCAAGGGTGGTACAGTTTACCGCTCCCAAGTTAAGGTCGGTAACCATAGCCGAGCCGAAGCTAACCTTTTATCTCCTGGCCGAGGCTAGCCATAGCCGAAGCCGAGCCCAGCCGAGGTTTACCTTCGCCGAGATTCGAGCTCCCAGCCGAAGCTCACAACCATATGAGCCGAGGGTGCTGCCGAAGATGGTTTGTCTGAACCGAAGAAAGAGTAATCAACTCTTTCTATCCCCGGATCAAGAGTAATAAACTCTTTCTATCCTCGGATTAAGGGTAAACTCTTTCTATCCTCGGATCAAGAGTAATAAACTCTTTCTATCCTCGGATCAAGAGTAAAACTCTTTCTATCCTCGGATCAAGAGTAAAACTCTTTCTATCCCCGGATCAAGAGTAATAAACTCTTTTTATCCTCGGATTAAGGGTAAACTCTTTCTATCCTCGGATCAAGAGTAAAACTCTTTCTATCCCCGGATCAAGAGTAATAAACTCTTTTTATCCTCGGATTAAGGGTAAACTCTTTCTATCCTCATATCAAGAGTAAAACTCTTTCTATCCCCGGATCAAGAGTAATAAACTCTTTTTATCCTCGGATTAAGGGTAAACTCTTTCTATCCTCGGATCAAGAGTAAAACTCTTTCTATCCCCGGATCAAGAGTAATAAACTCTTTTTATCCTCGGATTAAGAGTAAAACTCTTTCTATCTTCGGATCAAGAGTAATAAACTCTTTCTATCCTCGGATCAAGAGTAAACTCTTTCTATCCTCGGATCAAGAGTAAAACTCTTTCTATCCCCGGATCAAGAGTAATAAACTCTTTTTATCCTCGGATTAAGAGTAAAACTCTTTCTATCTTCGGATCAAGAGTAATAAACTCTTTCTATCCTCGGATCAAGAGTAAACTCTTTCTATCCTCGGATTAAGGGTAAACTCTTTCTATCCTCGGATCAAGAGTAATAAACTCTTTTTATCCTAGGATCAAGAGTAAACTCTTTCTATCCCCGGATTAAGAGTAATAAACTCTTTTTATCCTCGGATCAAGAGTAAACTCTTTCTATCCCCGGATCAAGAGTAAACTCTTTCTATCCTCGGATTAAGGGTAAACTCTTTCTATCCTCGGATCAAGAGTAATTAACTCTTTCAATCCTTGGATCAAGAGTGTTGCCTCAGTTAAACTCTTTCTATCCTCGGATCAAGAGTAATTAACTCTTACAATCCTCGGATCAAGAGTGTTGCCTCAGATAAACTCTTTCAGTCCTCGGATCAAGAGTAATTAACTCTTTCAATCCTTGGATCAAGAGTGTTGCCTCGGATGAACTCTTTCAGTCCTCGGATCAAGAGTAATTAACTCTTTCAATCCTTGGATCAAGAGTGTTGCCTCAGATGAACTCTTTCAGTCCTCGGATCAAGAGTAATTAACTCTTTCAATCCTTGGATCAAGAGTGTTGCCTCGGATGAACTCTTTCAGTCCTCGGATCAAGAGTAATTAACTCTTTCAATCCTTGGATCAAGAGTGTTGCCTCAGATGAACTCTTTCAGTCCTCGGATCAAGAGTAATTAACTCTTTCAATCCTTGGATCAAGAGTGTGTTGCCTTGGATGAACTCTTTCAGTCCTCGGATCAAACCTTGGATCAAGAGTGTTGCCTCGGATGAACTCTTTCAGTCCTCGGATCAAGAGTAATTAACTCTTTCAATCCTTGGATCAAGAGTGTTGCCTCAGATGAACTCTTTCAGTCCTCGGATCAAGAGTAATTAACTCTTTCAATCCTTGGATCAAGAGTGTGTTGCCTCGGATGAACTTTTTCAGTCCTCGGATCAAGAGTAATAACTCTTACAATCCTCGGATCAAGAGTGTTGCCTTGCATAAACCTGAACAAATAAAGTCCTTCGACTCAATTTCTATGAACGAATTATTTGGGAAATTGAAACAAAACCCAACTCATTTTTTCAAATAGAATTGGGTCTCGGGGGCTAATTGTTTGGGTACTAAAATGGTCATACCCATTTTAGTCTTGGGTAACTCTACCCATATAAGCCCAAAGGGCATAAAAAAGGTATAAAAGGCCCCAAATAAGTCAAATACATCAATATGGCCTTCAACGGCCCACATATGTAATTTTAGGGCTCATAAACCCACTTATGTACTCATATAAATACCCCTCAAAGGGCATAAGGTAAAGAGAGGTCACTCTTATCATCTAAGATGACCATACTCCTCCACTCTCTCCCCTAAACTCCTCTCAAAATATGCATTGTTTGGCAACTAACTTGGGCGTCGGAGGCTCCGCCCCGGGTTCAACCCCCGGGGCTCGGGGTTCATTTTGCCCGGTTAGCTCATTTTTTGCCGAAACAATTTGGCGCCGTCTGTGGGGAGGACTTTCAAAAATCTTTAAGCCAAATTTCTAACCAAGATCATCTTGCAATTATCTTAGTAGCAATGGCTAAGAACCGCAAGAGCAAAGGCCTCCGTCAAGGAGCAAGCGAAAAGCCTAAAACCCCTACACCATCACCCTCGCCGGACCGGAACTCTCCCAAGGGTGCCAGCTCGGGGGAGGATCATACAGGGAGGATTCCCTTTCTCCCGTAATTCATAACTCTCATCATAAGCCGAGTCACTCTCGGTCTAGCAGGGGTGAGTCCGATCATAGGACACATTCAGTGCCCCCAAAGCCAACCATCGACTGTGCGCTCTCATTCCCATACTCGGCCGAGGACCCCTTTGACGGGGCCCAGCTCGGAGGAGGTGGCAAGAGCGCTGGCAGTGCTCATGGAGGCAATGAGGGCACAAAATATGCCACCACCTCGTGATCGAACTCCTCCGCATACCCGGCATCAACGGAGGAAGCTAGACCATGATGGTGGGAAGCTTCCTTCCTTCCGGGAACTGGAAGAGTGGGAAGAGGATACCTGGAAAACTGAAAAAGAGAGGAAAAAGAACCCTCAATTTTTCAAAGGATCCTCAACCTCCCGACCAGAAACGCATAAGAGCAGCAGCTCAGCTTCTCGGCCAGAATCTACTCACCGAGAACAACCTGAGACTGTTCGCCGAAGCGTCCTCGACCGACTCGGCGGCAAGGAACCGAGCGTGCACAGTCGCCTCTCGTTCCGTGCGGCCGAGGCCCAGACTTCCCAGCCAGGGACGAAAACCACTCCTACCTCTCTAAGAGGGCGGAGCGCGGTCCCTTCGGCCAGGAACAAGGGCAAGGCCGTTATGCTACCCGCCAGTTCGCCATTCGAGCAATGGATACTGGAAGAGCACGTGCCCACGGTTAAAATACCGTCGCACATCACATATGACGGGACCTCGGATCCGAAGGACCACGTGGCCTCGTATGAGACTCATATGCATCTTTGCCCCAGATCCGAAGCGACTTGGTGCAAATATTTCCCAACCACTCTCAAGGGGGTCGCGCAAGCGTGGATCTCCAAGGGAGTAAAGCAAGGCTCCATAACAGGGTGGGATGATCTGTCCTCCAAATTTAGGAGCAAGTTTTCCACGGCAAACCGCCGAGAGAAGACTACTGCAGAACTCATGAGTCTGCAACAGGGGGAAACCGAAAGCCTCCGAGACTATCTGACCCGTTTCAGTAACGAGTCATCCAGCGTCTCTCAGCTGGACCAGGGGCTAGCCGTTTTTGCAATGCAGAATGGCCTTCAGCCCGGGAAGTTCCTAGACTTCATGGTCATGCATACCCCGCAGACCTTGGAGGAAGCTCTGAATGCCTCGGATAAGTTCATCCGAGCCGAAGAATGGAACAAAGCGAAAACCCAACCTCAATTCGGGGGAGGGAA